TCAATTTTAATTTGGGTTGAATTGAAGGCTTATGCTATACCTGTTTTTCAGACATTTGTCTAATAGGGTCATTTTTCCTTCCTTTCTTTCTTCCTCTAATCTGTTGTCATATTGGCCAGAGATAAGAATGGAGTTTAGCATTAGCTCTTCCTGCTGCATGACTTCACATGTCTAAATCTGTCTAGGAATAGGATATTTGTGTTTATCCTCAGTGGCTGGGTCTCCTGGGACAGGCTGGCTTTGAACCTTAAGCTGACTGCTATGAAAGGAATCTACCACATAGGGATAATTACATTTAAAATGTTTGTGTAGATAATGTTGGATGAATAGCCTTTAAGTACATCAAAGGCAAAAAGGAAAATGCTAATTATGTGGTTTGTTGAAGATGAGGCTTTTTTGCCACATTAGATGACCCATGCTTTCCTCTTTGGCTGAGTGTAGGATCTAACACAGTTTACAGTGCATGAGAGTGATTAGCTGTGACATAATCTACAGTTGTAACATCAAATGCCCATGGTATGAGCAAAGGTAATAAAATCTGCTCCACTAAAATGTTTGTGAGCCCCCGCAGGAATCACTGTGACAATAAATAAGAAGTCACTGGGACACAGTAATCTGTTCCACCCTATTAGAGTCAGGACTTGTATTCTAGTGTGCTTTCTCATCAACAGTAATAGACCAAGTCCACAGGGATTTCCTGCCAATCACGGGCTCGTGGTGGTATTCTAATGACTTTTCCTCAGAAGCTGATAAAAAGTGCTTTTCTTTCAAACTTGTCAGTATGCATCGAGCAGATCAAGCATGACCTGGATTCAAAGCAAGTGCAGATAGTGTATGACTGTGTTCTTGGATACCTCTTTACCCCATTGTCACGTGTTGCTGTTGAAGTGCTATGTGATCTCCGACCATAAAAAAACCCTTTGCTTAAAAGTGCACAGTGTTTTTTTAAAGACAAACAAAATCATTTTTAGTATAAGACACACACAGACATGCAGATGTAGAAGCATGCTTTTTCACAATAAGAAACAGTGTTGTAGTACTTGAGTCAACTTGGATTTGAGCACTGATAGCTCGGATTTGGACTCGGGCTTTGACTGGTCCTCTTCTCAGAAAATGGAGACAAGGACTTGGACTTTTTTTTAGTGTAATAGGCTATAATAAGTTGGCATAAAGTACTGATATTAAAACCTGTTCACCTCGCTGTGCTGTATCCAGCATATTTCCATCGAAGCGTACACTTCACCTTTCTATAAATGACTTGTAAATTGCCAAGTAATGTGGGCCATTGTGTCACACACAATAAGTAAAGTCCTTTTAAAATGGTGAGAGCTGTGGTGTGTTTAATGTAGACCTTGATGACACGGAGTTGGGTAACGGGGACTTGACTATTCTTTGGTGACTCAACTAGGGAATCGACTAAAACAATGATAAGAAAACAAACACAATAGTGAAGGGAGTGAAAGCTGGTTTCACCCAGAAGCATTACCTGACTCACTCAGCCATAGAGTCTGTCAAATTAAAGATGTTAATTTCATCCTTAAGTGCACGCTAATAAGAGCAATCACTTGCCTGGTTAAGACTCCAATCAAAATGCTAATTACAATCCTGGCCATGCAAATGAGCAGTTTAGGATTCATTATCTTCCTTTAGTTCTTGTTTTCTGTCTCAGCCTTCTTTTTGGTGGCTATGCATCCGTGTGCCAAGGAAGTTGTTAGATGTCTGATTAGCTTCACATTACAGTTTTCTTCTTTCCTTACATGTAAGACATGAATCTAATCTACAGCTGTTGGAGCGATATTAGTGCTTTTGAGGATTAAGTGTGATGTAGGAGATTTTAAGGTTTGGCACTAAGATGATGTTTTACTGTGGAGTTTCTTGTTGTTATAAGCTTTGGTGCAGTCATGTAAAGGCTTTATTCTATCATAAAGCCACGTCCGGTTCTTTCAAACCAGGAACTCAGAGGGACGACTCAGACCACTTGAGTATATAAAAAATATAACCGTGCTGGTTTATTCAAAGAGTCACAGGCAAGAATTAACATTACAAGTCCAGAGATCTTCCCACCCCCAGGCTGCCCAAGCAGCCCGGAAGCAGAAAAGACCCCGAACCAAGCATTGCTATACAATATTAAAAATATTATGGTTACTTTTACCGTCATAATAACATTTATCCCTGACTGCAGCCTTTCTCTGCTTTAACTAACCTTGCATTTAACAGCCTGAGGAAGACATCCTGGCTACACTAACATCTTCTAATACAACAGATCTCTAATCAATATCTATCTAACTAAGAAAGTACCTAACACATGGCAATCACTGTGCACTGCTTATTTTTACTACAAAAGCAAAATATGCAATATAGAATGCACACAATACATACAATTGGAAAAATGCATGGTTACATGTAAACTTGCAATTTTTTCATGTGCCAAAAACAATAAATGACAAAATTTGAAAAAGAAAAAGATATTTTCTAGTGCTTTTTAAAATTAAATGTGTTTAGTGGCACAACAATCACCGGCACCATTAGTAACTGATCTGGAGCTTTTGCTTTTAATACACAATCTTTATCAGCAGATGAAGTTTGCCCAGTTGTCCAAATTTTAAGCATTTTAAATATTTCTGTCCGCAGGGGTCTATAAGCCTAAACTGAACATTCATTCGTATTTGGAATTGGTTAAATAACCCAATCACAAAGTGCAGAGGCACAGTTAAGCAAATCAATTTCTTTGGGCGCATTGCATTTATATCATATAATAGTCTGTTCTTTGTCGTCAGTTTAGAGAAAGAGCCCACACACACGCAGTATTTCATTCTGAAAAAATACAGGGCTGCAGTGACATGCACAATGAAGGCAATAAAGACCTCCAGGAAAACCTTTGTATTACAGAAGCTTTCCCAACATTACAGTGACTCCAAGAGAATTAAAAGAACATATAGTATTTCCCTTCACTTTAGCTCACTATAGCACAGTGTTCTTTCTAGAAGCAGCAGTGACAGAACAGGTAGAAAGTGTGCTTTTGTTCCACTTTGATCCCTGTCTTGGTCAAAACCCTTAAAACCTCTGCTTTCTAGGTCCCTGATTGCCTCAGAAGAAACAGGCAAGACACCAGCCTGGTTGCCATAGCAACAGATGCTGATTTTAATGCTTTAGATGTGCAATAAACAAAGGTCTACGTGTATCGGTTTGTCAGTTTACAAGTGACTGGTGTCTGGGGGACAAACAGATCTCTCGGTGGCAGTGATGATTGCCAGCGTCTGCTTGTGAATGTAACAGCTGAAATTCACAAAGGCTCATTTGCAATTTGTCACTGTGGTTCAAATGTCATACACATCAGGATGAAGCGGTGTCGCAGCGGTCCTCCCAAAGCAAGCACACCCAAATAAATGATTCATGCATCTGAGACAATATTTCCCTTTCAGCTCAATCACAAGGGAATGGTGTAATTTTTAAAGCAGGCCCTGATGATGCAACTTTGTGATGGTGCATTCATTGTGCAGGTGAGTTTGTTCATCACCTGCTGAATTAATTTACCCTGGAGTTGTTACTGTAGAAGAAAAACTGGTCCCACCGCACTGAATAATGATGACCTTGGAGACTGTGAATCATATGGCCCCTTGGGCTTCCTGATGGGATGTGTTGCTTTGTGTTTGCTGGTCATTTGTGAAGTTTTGTGGCTGCCATTATTCCTCTATCTTACTTAAATTAGTTTGGCAAGTTTAGTGCGAGAAGCAGAACTTTACAGAAGCAGGAAAGGGAATGGTCATTATCATTGGTACAAAGAAAAACAATATAATGGATCAGACTTTTTCAACATAAAACAGACACACTGGCAGAAAACTTCATAATATCTACTGCTTGTCTGATCAGCAGTGGTGGAATGTACATTTATCATAATAATAACATGAATTGTCAAGCTGTCCAACAATATATACTACAGTAGTTAAAATGAGCTTCACCTTCACCTGCTACACCTTAAAATGCTTCTTATTACATTTATGGATCAATAATAATCCAATTATAAAATATGTAATAATACAACACTGAAGGGGCCATTCTCCATTATAACATCTACCTCTACTTTTGATACTTTAAATATATTGCTGTTAATGCTTATGTACTTCTACTATGTAACTTTTGAAACAATTAGGATCACAGTCCTGTGACAAATCAAAAGTTGGATTCATAAGTAATACAACACACCATTGCTCAGTTCTATACACAGATGTTTTTTTCTGCTACTACTTGGTCAGATACTGTATAACCAGGTGCTTATGGTTAGCTAATATTAACACACTTTAGAAAGATGCTGCTGTGTAAATGGCATTACTAAATCTAAAGCTTTATGACTCTCCTATAAGTCTGTTATTGATACACAATGTTGTAGCATGTGAAATCATATGGGAATTTTAAATTCCCTTTGTTTTAGGTCATATTTTGGCCTTTGCTCTTTATCTGAGAAATGATTGTAGGTTCAGGAGAAACCACAAAAAGTAGTATAGATGCATTCAAGGGAGTGTGAAAGGCAAAATGGGAACATACCAGGAAGTGAGATTGTCTTTGACTGCCAGGAGCATCCTTACATTGGCCATATCAGCGAGCAAAGACTCTGATTTAAAGCAATTACCATCAGCTAGAGATGCATAAATCTGCCACTGGACGGTGACAGATTCTTCAGTTAAAAGGCAGCACATCAAAGAAGATTATACATCCCGCTAACTCTTGGCTTCCATTTTTATCTTTCTGCAGCTGTAGCCAATTTCTGGGGCTGTAGGCACTGTGTGTCCTTTACGAAAAATGAGAAAAGACTGTGGTGAATGTGCACTTCTCTCTGCTCTGAATAGAAATGCACAGGAAATGTAGGGTGTGACTGATTTATGCCCAGTGAGCTTTTTGGCACAGGTGCCCTCTGGGTGTGTGTGTGTGCGTGCGTGTGCGTGCGTTTTCCTCCTGGACACTTCCCCTGTTTCAGCAAATTAAATGCTAAGAAAGGAAATGTAATGTAATTCATTATTATACCAACTAGACTATAGGAGGGTTATCGTTTCCCTTATTCCTCATGCTATGATCGAGCATATGCGCCATCAGGTCTTCCCCGCCTTTCGCACCAACTGAACCCGATCTTAAAACCAGCGAGCAGCCGCAGACAGATCATCAGTTTATGCGAAGGGACAGGACTGACACACACTCGAGCTCTGCAGGAACAGCGTCTGTGCGCAGGGAAACTGAGCTCATCTAACAGTCTTGGCGAAGTTAATCAGTTCTTTATTTGCCTCTGAAGCTTCTCTCCTCTTGACCATTGAGATTAGGATGAAAAGGTGAAAGTTGCATTTTGTAAATCAGTGGCTCTAACCTGCGCTAATCTGGACCACTGACCTAAACGGACACGCGGTTGGAAGTCTGAAAGCACAACCCAGGAAACGGACTTCAGCTGGAAGGATGAATGTAGGTGAGTGGAATCAACCGTATTTCCATTATTTGGGAGAGCGAGTGAGAGATAGGAAATAGGAGAGATAGGAGTTTCTATAATCTTTGATAATACTTTGTTCTATAATCTTTCGCTTTCAGGGCAGATGTTGTGGTTTAGTCGGATATTTTAGGAGGCAATACGCGCACGCAATCATTTGTCATCACAATTAGGATACTAAACTACAAGGAGTTTTATAGCCTGCTTCCTGCAGATCTTTTGAAAGATAGAAAACCTCACACCAGTGTCTGTGTTTTGAAAGTTTCTCTGGTGTGACCATTGACGGTGCTGAAGGGACGCCTCCTGTCTTTTGTGCACCCTGCTACTGGTATAATGGAAGACACATTTTGCAATTGGGAAAAGAAAAACAAATATATATTCTTTAGTTTTTCCTCTTGCATCAGCATCAGCGAATGGTGGCTCAGCGCCTGAAGCCTGAACTGGAGGAGGATTTGGGAAGATGTCGCTGCTCTAGTTTCTGCTCCAGGCAAACTGAACATGGTCTCTGCGGAAGTGGTTTTGTGATGAGAAATCTTGAGAAAAACCCCCTAATTCCTGTCATGTCGGTCACCTGGAGACGTGACACTGGCATTGAAGATGTTGCTGCACTTTCCTCAGGTTGATTTTAAGAAGTAGTCTAGCCTACTGTAGAATAATACCCGAGAGGTTTCCCCGAGGTTAGTGGAACATCTTCTGGATGCCTGGTTTCAGATTAATTTAATATTTTGTTCATTAAAAAGGCAATTTTATTATCACACATGATTAATATGGAATTAAACATTAAAAGTGAACAGTTTGCAAAAATAGCAGACAACCAATAAATTATAAACAACAAATAGAACTGTTGGCCAGAAATCACTGGTGCTGTCACAGCCATATGCAACATGCTGCACAGTTGTCTGCATTTAACTGCTGTTTTGTGCATTGCATGTTAACACCAGCTGTCACAGCAACATCAGCTTGCCATTCTGTTGACAACTCAGAGCAAATGGTAGCAGCCAGGTGCCTTTGGGCTAGATGTGCTATTAAGGTAATACTTTATGTAATGGGCACACATTTGGCACAAGATATGATTTCATGACAGAGAGACATTATTATAATTACCAGTAAGTATCCTTGTACAACACTATTGCAGTCGCGAGATTGTCATCAGTTCCTGCTCTCTCATCCAGCATGGTGCATAAGCTTAAAAAAAAACAAAGCAGAAGGATGCAAAAATAGGAGTATGGGTTAAGCAAGCAGATGGTGGAAACTTTCTTCCTTCCTTCAAGCGTTTCAATTCCACCCCCCTGACCTGTTATATACGTTCAGGGATTCAGGCACAGACGCACAATCCTGCTAAGCTCTCTCTCTCTTACCATAATTCCTCGGTTGTACCCTCCCTCATATGCTCTCGGCTTCTTTTACAGTTTGGATATTTTTCATATTCATTGAGGAGGGATTTGCTTTGACACAAAAGACTAAAGGTAAGATTGATATCTTCACTGTACATTAAATCCAGGCACTTATTCTAATTGAATTAGACATAACTGACGTTTGGTCACATTTAGGCACACAAATGCATTTTATGTGTCTTAATGGCACCATTAACTATACATATTTTTTAAAATCTGATTTACTGTCAGAATGACATGTCTCCCTTGGATGTCATCTCACAAGCAGGATCAAAAGGAGTTAAACCTTCTCATCACTGTGGAAGCTGGGTACGAAACGCAGATGGCGGCACCTTCAGCTCCCCGAACTACCCAAACATGTACCCTCGCAGCCAGGAGTGCCTGTATGTACTGGAAGGTAACCAACAATATGCACCTGAGCCTGATCATTGCAGTGCTGTAAAATGATTACTTCCAATTCCAATTTATGTGAGTGTTGCAGAGCTTGTCATTAAATTAAGTCTTTTTTTTTGGGGGGTCTCATGTTAATTAAAGGGAATGTGATAGAGAGAAAAAACAACACCAGTGTGGTTTTGTTTGTTTGGTGTGCAAGATGACTGATGTTATTTCCTCCTTCATTTGACAGTAACACACACATTGCTCATTTTAAATTGGTAATACATGTTTTTACAGTAGGATTATGACTGTTTTTCCTGTCTTGATAACAAAGTCAAGATAGTGTAACTTATTACGTGCAGTGTAAATTTTCCCATCTGGTCAGTAAAGTATAAACAAGCTGGTAGCTTCAGAGTGCCTTTCTTATTATCTTGCACATCAAAGAATGTATCATACCTTGTTTTTATTCTGTCCATCGCTTTCCCAGTAATTGCTACTGGAGCCCACAAAGTGAGTAAAATTTGAAAGAAGCAGTGGTTGTTTTTGCTGCGCTGCCCATTCTCTGGCAGCAGTCATAAAACACCTCTCTGGTAGTCGATGTGACTTATCACCCATCTTCCCTCAGCGCTTCCCCGCCAGAGAATAGAGCTGTTGTTTGATACCACCTTCTACATCGAGGCATCATTTGAGTGTCGTTTCGACCACATCGAGGTGCGAGATGGACCTTTCAGTGTCTCGCCACTCATCAATCGTTTCTGTGGCTCGGTTAGTCCTGGACTCGTCCTCTCCAGTGGACGCTTCATGTGGATCCGCTTCTTCAGTGATGAAGAGCTAGAGGGGATTGGCTTCAAGGTCCAGTACAGCTTTATTGCAGGTGCCTCAAACAATATTATTGAGTCCTCTGTAGCAATGTTCTCACTATATTCACTAAATGCTCATGTGCTCTGCTTAAATAGTGCTTCAATCAAATGTCTCTGCTGTTATTAACCAGTCAAACATACTCTGAGTGATGTTGGCCCTGATGGTGTGGTATCTTTTTCCAACTTTGATTTCCCCCCAAGACCCTGAATTTCATCTGCATGTGGGAGGACTTTTAAACCCCATCCCAGGTACTGCCACCACATATCTAAATGAATCATTTCAGTTGTAAATCCATGATGTGTTATGCCAAGTCATGGCACGTTTCTCACACCACCACCCATAACCTCCCTTTTCCCTCTTGTATGTTTCCCCTTTCTCTGCCCCTTTGACCTGTTGTCACTGTCTGTGGGTCAGACTGTCAGTTTGAGCTGTCTGGGGCTGACGGCCTGATTCGCTCTAGTCAGGTGGAGGAAGAGTACAAACTGAGGTCAGACCAAGCAGTGGACTGCATCTGGACTATACGAGCCCCAGCAGACAGCAGGGTATGGCATACGACATGTTAAAATTTCATGTCACAGCAGCAGAAGTTTCATTACCTACTTTACCTACATTACCTACATATTTGTGACAACTGGATGCTGGAAAAGGAAAAAGCACCGAGAAGGAGTTAAGGTGAAATATAACAACAAAAACTCACAAAATGCTGTTGAGGAGAGGGGATGTGACAGCTTACTGGTTGAAAGAATGAGTCTCCAGCCTGCAGCGCATATCACAGCGTGTTTGTTCCATACCCTTTACATAATCATAAAGACAGACCACAGATTTCAACTTCATATCACAAATACCTAGATAAATGTGCTTTGCATTTTTTTAATTATCAAGTATTCAATGACATTACATGACATAGGAGGATATGAAGTATAAAGCAAACATATTATTGAATATCTACATAAGCAGTAAAACTGGTGTGAAATGATTTATATTTGATCCTTTCAAGCAGTGATGCCCTCAAATGCAACTTGTCTTCTTATAGCAAAGAAAAGCTGCATGAACAAAGAGCAGAATGTACAGTATACCCCACCTCCTTGCTTATTACAGATCTATCTGCGGTTCTTGGAATACCAGATGGAAAACTCAAATGAATGTAAGAAGAACTTTGTGGCTGTTTATGATGGCAGTAGTGCCATTGAGAACCTAAAGGTAATATATCATATGTTATCATATTTACTGTATAGCTGATCTGATGTACTTAAGTTATTAAGTTACTGTAATGCATCATCCTGTCTGTCCTGCTACACACCAGGATTTGTCTGTCTTTCTTTGTCATATGCTCATTTTTAATATCATATTTGAACCATAAATATATAGCAACTGTGCTACAGACCTTGGCCTCAGTGAGACTACATCCAAATCTATGAGAGGACATGGTGTTTGGTTTCTTGCAGGCTAAGTTTTGTAGTACAGTAGCTAATGACCTCCTGCTAGACACTGGTGTCGGAGTGGTGAGGATGTGGGCCGATGAGACAAGCCGTCTCAGCCGTTTTCGGATGCTGTTCACTTCTTTTTCTGATCGTGAGTTTGTCTTTTGATTATTCTTAACCTCTGTGTCCTGTTTGTTCAGTTCTCTGTTTCTGTGGGAAAACAAATACAGTGCCTTAGGCATATGACTGCAAATAGATCTCTAATAGTACCCTCTTGTGGTTCCTATTCAATACTGCAGTTTGTTTAAGAATTAACTTATCTTGGTAGGAGTTGGAGAACATGCTTTCAGTCAGATATTGTATTAAAATATTACACAAATACTAGCTTTCCATGTATCCTTTTGAAAAAGAGAGCATTCAGTAGGAACTTTATAAATCTCTGAAATGTATGAATTTCCTGTGACTGCACTCACACACCTGTGTTTGTGTTTCAGCACCCTGTATAGGCAGTGCCTTCTATTGCCACAGTAACATGTGCATCAACACTTCTCTGGTGTGCAACGGTATACAAAACTGTGTTTTTCCTTGGGATGAAAGCGACTGCAAAGGTACTCCAGTAGTGCCAAGACACTTTGTAATTCCCTTCAAAATCCACTGTGCTGTGCTGTATTACAATGGGCTGTGCAGCGATATGTAATATGATACAGGTCACACCTGTCTGTGTTATGTCCCACTGAACCTCATGAAGATTCCTGTTTGGAAATATTCCAGGTAGTTTCCGGTGTAATTTTTTAAAATATTCCTACAAAGGTTTGTCTTGGCAAGGAAAGCTGAATCATATCATCTTTGATTCCTTTTGAGCTTAAAGATCTTTGCGGCCTTTTAGCTGATAAGTGGCTCATAAACACCTCAGACTCTTTATCAGTGCTTTCATTTTTAGTGAAGGTTCTTCCTCCTGCCAACCAAAAACACAAGATTGTTATGACGGGGAAGTCAACAAGTAAATGACTATTGTACTTAATGTACTGCCAATGCCTCTAAATGTCTTATATTTTATAGCTTTTTTGTAAATCACTCTCTTCATCTATATCATCCAGAGACTATGAGCAAGGCTGTTTTTCACACAATTACAAAGACGCAAGGTACAGTAATCTGTGCGTCTACAGGAGTCGTGCTGCTGCTCCTTATTGTCTCCATCCTGGTGCAAGTCAAACAGCCAAGAAAAAAGGTAACAGACAAGTCAGAATTATGTCACAAAATACTGGTATAGAAATTGTTCATTCATTTTTTAAGTGTGTTTAATCATATTTTGAAGGTTTTGATACGTAAGAATAACTTGTTTCACCGAGACAACTCCCAGGAGGTGCCTGACCCTCCGCACTATGAGCTCTTTACTCTCCGAGATAAGGTTAGTTTGATTACTTTGATTCCATTATCTCTATTTGGTCAGTTTTGATCAGAATTGTAAATGTACCATCACTTTTTTTTAGGAGATATCTGGGGACCTTGGGGCATTATCAGATGAACTGCAGTCCCTGCAGGCACTCAGGAGATCCTCATCAGGCTCACGCTGCATTCATGAACACCACTGTGGCTCTCAGGCCTCTATCAAAGCCGTTCAGGCTGCACATGACCTCGGCAGGAGATCCATTGAGCTTCTCCCTTTAAGAGGAGACTTCAAGAGCACCTTAACCCCCTTCAGGGAATTGAACAGCAGTGTGCGTAAGAAGAGCTGGCCTAGTGTGAAGCCAGGCCGAATGCAGAGCCATCACAGTATGGGGGGCAGAGCACTGGGGCGGCAGGATAGAGTAATGGAGGAAGAAGAAGAGGCCCAGGAGGAGGATGGAAAGCATGACGTGTATGTGTGCAGAGCAGGAAGCCAAAGAGGGAACTATGAAATGGCCCAGCAAAGGTCCTTGTCCATGGACTTCTGAAAAGAAGGCATGGTAAATGATACAGCAACAAGTTTTCAATCAATGCCACAATTTGGGGGCAGAACTCACCTTTACAGGACAGAGGAATAAGAACGCCATGTCTCACTCAAGACATGTCTCACCTAAATAAAAATGATAAAGAAGAGGACCAGCAGTGCTACAAGAACTTTTAGAAATTAAAATACTGCTTTGACACTGAAACAACTGACAGGAAACTCTTATTGCATCAGTGTGAAAATCAGTTTTAAGATCAGAGGCAAAATTACCATCAACAATTGAGCAGTCACTCTTCTTCCCCGGAGGGAAGTGTGTGTTTATTAGAAACCTTCTAAAGGGTGTGTCACACCAGCATGTTGCTTGAAATACCCCATGTAAAACTGGCTGCCAAGTATGGTGGTTTATAATTCAGTTATGTAATCACCAAAATTTGGTTTAATTTTCTTTCTGACAGTAGACACAGGTTGAATATTTGATTAATATGTATTGACTTTTCTCATAAGAGGACCCAGCCCACACTGGATTATAGGTAATTGTTTATTATCCAGGATACTATTCAGAAGTTAAACATTTGGGAAGAGATTAGATTGCGGTGTGCTTTTGTAGGCTTTTGTCATTATAATATAGGACTCCAAATTATCATGTACACTTTTGTTAGATGGTTTTGACAAACTCTTTTTAACACATTGTGTCCCAGTGATGTTGACAATAAAGATCAGAAAATGGGTAAAATTGCGATTATTATTTTTTTTCTCCCAGTTTAGTCAGCTATCCGTAAGGTTTATTCATCATGTTCAGAAGGTTCACTGAACAACCAATTAATGGAGGAACTATGCTAATAAACACAGACATATTTAAGGCAGGGAACTCTGATGTTTGACCTGCTTTTGATGTGCTGATAAGCTGATAAGCAATGCAATAATAAAAGGTTAACAATGTAAACGAGTCACTAATATCTTCTACAGTGCTGCCTAAGTGCTTCTGTGAGTCGACCTAGAAAGAACAAGCTTTATCAAATCGGTTTTTTTCAGGTATTGTATATTTGCTGAGTACTGTTGGTTTTTCAGTAATACTGTGGTATACACTCATTTTTATCACGATATCTAGAACAAATTACATAAAAAAAATCATAAATAAAGAGACTTAAGGGAAACCGAAACTAGGTCAACATGGCATGACAGTAAAATGACTCAGTGATTTGAATGTGCTAACAGCTCAGCGTATAATGGCGCTAAGGTGTTCATTGTTCTTTCCTCAGCTGAACTCGTATCAAACATAACAGAGACATACACAGCTTTGCAGAATGGAGCAAAACCTATTAACCCTTATGTTTTATTTTATGCATCAGTAGGGTGATTGTGTGACTTTCTGTGACCAGTCATATATAAACATCAAGTTTACTTCATCATAGACAAATCAGCAGTCAGGTGATGAGTCACAAAAACTGGTTTCTGTGCAGTTAACCATTAACAGAGGGTTCAACTAAGTGAAAGGCATGCATGGTAAAACAGGATCACAGAGTCTGACATAGTATTACATAAGTATACTGATCTCTGTGCTGGTGTTTGTGTTTGTGTGTGATCACATATCAGATATGTCTCATGTGGGATCTCATTTGCACAACCACACATTATTTATTATGAGCTAAGTTAACAGGTGCAGTTGCAAACAGACATAACAAGAAAGACACAGTGTTCCTTCTCTTGCCTGCAACTACTCAGTATTCATCACTGTTCCAACATATAGAGACTGAGACTGAACTGAGTAGAACAGTATCTTAGGTACTAAATGCTTCTGAAATGACACACTGCTGACAATACAGTATGGGAACCTGCCAGTTTTTCTGTCATTCTTGTCTTGAACTGCAGAGTAGCGAGGGACTGTTGAATAACACGTTCAGGATAAAACATTACTTAGACATGTAAACCACATTATTGAATACCAGAAAAATAAATTCAATGAAACATGATAACATACAAATCACACAGCAAAATAATTCAATAATTTTTTATGAGATCTTTTAAAACTTTGTTAAAACAGTACATCAATAGCATATATAAATACTACACAACTTTACAGTTTGTACAGAGGTTATTTTTGCTAAAAAAATATATGCTACTACACAAAAATGCTACTATTAATACATGACAAAATCAATACTTGTTTGTTACTTGCTTTAAAAGTCCATAGTTTTGGCATCTTTTCATGTTTCTTTTATCTTCAGTCCAGAAATAAGAACATGTTAGATTTCAGTCTAAATTGTCATAAAGTCATGAAGTGTGCAGGCATAGTCAGTACTTCTCAGATGAGTATGCCGGTCAGCAGCATAACAATGTCTCTTGTGTGTTTAGATTTAACATTCATGATCTGCTCCTCAGTGATTCATCAAAGAAGGCCAGGCGGCCATATGCCATCAGGGGTGTGTGCTCCCCTAGAACTGCCTCCGTGAAGTTTGGCCGTCTCCAGGCATAGACCATACTGTTCAGGAAGCCTTGCAGCGACACGCCAACGGCCTGACACAAACAAAAATAACGCTATGACTTGCAACTCAGATATCAAATAAAAATGTTATGTTCTCCTGTCATCATTTTCCTTCAAAACATACCTGAAGGATATAAATGCCAAAAAGGCTGCTTTGTTTAACGTTATTCGATGTCATGAGGGGGAACAGCAGAATGAGGACAAGAGCTGCAGAAGACAGAATCACAGGGGATGAATCTGATGTTGAGTTTAAGATGATGGAACAAATGACACTGTCCTTAAATGTGTGTGTACCTGGTGTCCAGCAGATTAAGATAACAATCACCATACTTCGTGCTGTAGAAAACACTCCTTTGAATCTCTTTCTTGAACGTCCGTCTCCTTCCACAGGAAAAAGACCCTCCTGCTGATGTCTTTCATACCATTTACCAACCTTATAGTAAATGACCTACAACAAAACAAAATCAGTGACTACATTCTGCTTATGGAGCATACATGTAAATATATCCAAGCCTTTAGATAGTACTGTACAATTATAAATCAGAACTATATTACTACAATTACAAAACTGTCCAAATTATTTTTAACTTACAGAGCAAGACAACATCACTGGTATCACCACAAGGAAAAGAAAAACTTTGAGGAATGTGTCATGAAGCTGTTCCTGGCATGAAGAAAGAAAATCATGTTAGTATCATCACTCACTGGTAGAAGCTGCTTTGCATTAATTTAAGGATAAAATATAACCACAAGCTTTTATAATAAATAATTTATGCAACAATACTGCTCAGTACAGTACAGTACAGTAAAAGAAAATAATAAAAGTGAAATACTGCTAATTGAAATCAATGCACAAGAAAGAGCTGATAAAGAAAGTGTATAAAAGTATATCATTAGAGAGTTTTATTCTCACGATTTCTTTGCAGGGCTCCGTCCAGACATGCAGGAACAAAATACAGCTGGGAAAAGTGGAAATTCAGAAAGGTCAGAAACACAGGGGAGCAGACCTGTTTCATTTCTGCAGCTTCTTTGAAAAAAGTGACTCTAAAGTTTGTGTGCTCACCTGCCACAGTATTGGGTATCATTACTGATGATTTCAACCATTGATCTGTTAGTGGCAGGTTTTATGAAGGGAGTTAGCACATATGCTAAGTACAATGCGATGGGGATCAACCTGTGATATTGGACAGACAGAAAGATAGATTTAAATAGCATTGTTTAGGGATAGTAGCCATAAAGTTTGGAAAGGCACTTAAAGGCATGTATTATAGTATTTAAACAAAAAAACAAACTCACCACACCAAAGCATATACAGGTACAGTGATGATCTTCCTTCTACAATGACTCTGTAGTGAGAGAGAGATATTACTAAATCCACCCTGACAGATTTGGAGACAAATATAATCTGTATATTCAATTGACAACTAACCTGTCCACTTTCATTCTCTGTGGGACTTGTTCTCCATCCTTGGATTGCATTCTTTGACTTCCATGCGTAAACCACCACCAGCAGAAATGAAACAAAATAAAATGTCTAGAACAGAAGAGACAAACATACAGTGCAAATATGTCAAATGACGATACGTAGCATATATATGTAGCAGCTGAAAGCATGATCATTTAAATGTGACCTCCAAAAGGTATTAACATTTATTTGCATACATTAAATACCATAAGGTTCAATTATAATCCTTAACAGAACACAAGGGTTAAAGGTCATCTTCTGTGTGCAAATGCAGACTAGCTAAAAAAAAAAAGTAGCTGACCAGCTCCATAAAACTAAAATATGTTTGTGTGTAGAGGTTTTAGTTAAGATTTGTGTTGGTGAACATTCCCCTACCAAACCCAAACATTTGTTCTTTATCTTTATGAGGAAACGTTATTATTGTATTTTATTATGACTTTATCATTCAGTTTATCTTTATGCAAACAAAGCTTATGTTCATAAAAACCTGTTTTACTTTCTGTTATAATTGTCTTTTGTACTAAAACTTAAGAAACATAAGACAAAGAAGTTGTAAAATCTAAACATTTGAAGACATGTTTTAGCTACGATGCAATGCCTATCAGAGCCCATAGGTTCTACATCCATACACAGGAATAAGAGCTTGCTTTAAGTGTAGGAAATTCTCAGGTTTGGGGGTCAGTCAATTCAGAACTATAAAGTGACAGAGTTGTTGCTCTGATTAAACAATGAAATTTTAAAAGGCTAAACATTTTCCATATTTATCATATTATGAAACAAATCTACAACCTGGACTCAGTGAAAGTGCATAACACTGTTTGTTCCTACGTTCTTTGCTGTGCTTGTTTTACATCTAATCTGTCCTTAACTCATATCACAGCAAAAATATTATATGAATTTGGAAGATTTTGAGGTGAAGTTGGTGCAGTTTACAAAAGAAATATTTTAACATGAATTATTACACATGCAGCTTCACTTCTCAGTCTGAGGGAACAAGTACATTTGCATCACTGAAGCTGGGACACATGAGAAAAAACGTTCATTTCTTTGCTTAATAGATGCAATATAACGAACACGAGGTTTTTATTGCTAGAATGACAAGGCAGGTCTGAGTCACTCAGGGAAAATCCTGAGACCTGATATATTTACTCATACCGCTCTCCTTCTCTGCACCTCCCTCAAATCTTCAACCAAAACATGTTTTTGTAAATAATTTACTTGTTGAAGTAAGAGCTCAGTCTAACAGAGTGAAAGTAACTGTTCCTCACCAGTGACAGTGGCAGGCTGTACTGGCAGATGGTTACACTCTTGTCAGTGTTCATGACACTAGTGTAAAAGTTCATGGCACTAGTGGACATCAGGATCAGAGCAGCCAGGAGGTCTGCTAGGGCGAGCTGTGCCAGGAGGTGCACCTGCACACAAACACACGAATACAAAGGATGTTGCATTGCTATAAAACTGTAATATGGATAAAAAAAGACCAAAAACAAACTATTATCCATTAAGTAAGCACAAAATACAAAAACACGAAAATATATTCATAAAAAGCATGACTCACCTGTCCTTTTAGATGCCTCCATCTCACTATAGAAACCACCAGGACAGACAAACTCCCAATAACACTGCAGTTAATCACAGTTATATGAAATGTCACATAACTCCTTAGAGGCTGGTATAAAACCATATCAGTACTGCATTACTTTTAGTCATCTACAGTCAAAAGAATAAAGAGCATGATGTTGTGAAAGCTGGCACCACATCAACACTAAACCTGGGTCAAGTTTGTTGCATATCTGTCTGAGCATGAAAAAGATTGCTTTGTCTGCAGTGTACCTATCTCATGCACATGTGACCTTTGCATAAAACGCTGTTATGAGATGACCCATTAAATCTTAAGCCTCCTCTTCACTCTTAAGACACTACCTGGAGGCACAAGATAAGATTTTTTTTCTCCGCATTATCTCACACACCATTTTATCCATTTGTTTCACTTTGTTTGACACAGATTAAAGAAAGAAAATGAAAGGCTCATACATAAAGACACAGAATGATTGTGTTCACCAAAATTTTAAGTATGCAGAAGGTGCAGTTTATCAAGTGAGCTACAATTCAGTCCTAAATATAATAATCTGAATAATTAACATGAGCGGCAATGCTCTTAATGGAAAATTAATAGAAACCTAAAAGAACACTGGAGGGATTCAGAAAGAAAACATAAGCTTGACTTTTGTTACATCCTGCCTCGCTGGTTTGGCAGATGAAATAACCCAAGTGTGTCGGTCAAGGTAATTCAAGCATGTAACTGAAAAAGTATGAAGAAGGCTATTACCTGGGAATGAGTAACACTAAGTACAAAGCAGAGAGAACTTCAATCTGAAAAACAGAATTCAAACATGCTTTCAGAAATGTATAGCCATTACTTCCATTTAAACATTTTCATGCTAAAAATCTGTAGGCTATTCACTGAATTCAGTAATGCACAGGGTAGTAATAAATATAATATCTACCTCATGTCCTCCCAGCATACCATTGAATTCCATGGTAAATATCCAGTAATTAGTACAAATCACCTATCCAAAACACACTCTGTACACAGGTAGATAATCTGCGTCCATAACAGGCTTATACGAAAATGAGCCTTCCTCTCAAGGCACACCTCTATAAAGGTTTGCACCTTGTCACATGCTGCTGTTTTAACTCCACATGCGTTCATTGCGTGCTTGAGTGTGTGTACTGTAGATCATTGCAGTACTTTTGAATGGGAATCCCCAGGTGGAATGGGAATATTCTGTGCCTTACTGCCAGTCCTTATAAGAAACAAGGACACTTAAAGGAGACAGGGAAACAATGAACCGGAATTTTCTCTGTACTGTTTGGGTTTTTACACTGCCTTGGTTATTCCTACCAGAATAACAGATGTAGATAATTTTATTGACTCTGCTGTCATACTAATGGTTTGTCAGCAGCTGTCCACAGTTGGACACACTTTCCTATTGAATTCAGTAGAAAATTGTGTCCACACTTTTGACTGGTAGTTTGTGTATGTAATGAATCTATAATTTGTTGATAACCAACAAGCACTGATAACCAACAGTCCTACACACAGAGAGAGATACACACAGGGTGACTGTGGAGTGCAGTGACTGAACTTTGGTGTTGAAATCAAGCACAGTACAAGTTACGATCATGTTGATAAACGTCTGTGTTATGGGGACATCTAGTGGTAGGAATCGGCCTTGCATTATATAATGTGTGGTGAAAACAAACCTTTTGCTAAATATAATGTTAGCTTTTTTCCATTGTGTTGAAGTCTGTCCTCTGAAACATTATGGCGCATGATATAGGCTACTGAAGTAGTTTAACTGTATATGAAAAACAGCCAAATGTAATTAAAAAAAAGTTTTCACAGGTAATGCAATGTGTTGATAAAGTTGATTCAAACTGATGACGTAGTGTATTCCACGTTGGCCCGGACGTGGCAGTCGCGGTAGTCCTGTGGGGTAATCTAACCAGTTTACACTTTGCCTCATCCGTGGCTAATATCAGTGCTATTTTGCTAGGTTCAAACGTCCTCGGTTAGTTATGGGTCTTACCATCTCGTCCATCTTCAGCCGACTTTTTGGCAAAAAACAGATGAGGATTTTGATGGGTGAGTTAAAACTGTGTTTAAATGAGGCTAGTTAGCACAGCTTTTAGTTTTAGCTTTAGCTGTGAGAATAGTTAGCTCCTTCATGCTGAGCCTTAATGGCAGTGCATTTATCAAAGTTTTAAAGTATAATATTGAGACGAAAGCGTAATTAAAACACAACTAAGAGCAACCCAGTTAATTGCTGTTTCAATTAAACATTAAAGTGGTTTTCATTCCTAGCGTTAGCCTGTAGGTTTCGGGTGTTTTTAAAAGAAGTTTGTCAGTGACGTACGCTAACGACGACTTTACACTGAAAACGGTTTAAAAATAATTATTTGTTATAGTCTTTATTAAAACCAGCTTTGGCTACCATTACCAATTATGCCTTTTACCGAATAACTGATTCCTAACATAAACCTAAAGACAATTTTAAAAAATAGCCTTTGATAATCTAGTTTTCTTATAAAATTAAATTAAAATAAATTATTAGCTAACGTAAACTTGTGACACAGTATTTCTCCGTGGAGTTGTCTATTTTCGTTATTTTGTCACTGTGTTTTGTTAATTTTCAGGCCTGTTTCCGGTCAGTAGAGCGGTGACATGTCCTCCATAATGTTAATATATACAATGTTAAGATCGACTTTAATAATTATGGGAAGCTCCCCCTTTAATAGTAACTGTACCGTCACATGTACCCTGTAATCACATGTCCTCTGCTGTCTGATGAGTAGGCTACACCTGGAGGGAAAACGTTTTTGTAATTTTCGGTTCCATATCTCTTGATGTAAAGGTTTTTATTTTGTGTTACTGATTTTACTCTGACTTCCTTTCCCTGCAGTGGGACTGGATGCTGCAGGAAAAACGACTATCTTGTACAAACTGAAGCTCGGAGAAATTGTAACCACCATCCCAACCATCGGTAAGAGATTAACATTAGAAATTGATATGTTTTTCTATTTGTTTGTGTGTCTCAAATGCTTGGAGTTGTTTGTATTATTAAGAGCTCTCTCTTCCTTTACCCTGTTAAGGTTTCAATGTGGAGACGGTAGAATATAAAAATATCAGTTTCACTGTATGGGACGTAGGTGGCCAGGACAAGATTAGACCCCTTTGGAGACATTACTTCCAGAATACACAGGTATGATTGTGACTGTCCTACTGCTGTGTGACAGCTTAGGTTCAACAAGTCAAACTAAAGACTGTCCTACTGCTGTGTGACAGCTTATTTTTAACAAGTCAAACTAAGCCTATATTTAATATAATAACTGCAGTGTCAGTGAGCAGCAATAATAGCATGCTGCTCAGATCACCAAGTACAATACTCTGTTGAACCAAAAGTGAGACAACCAGTTACTGAAACAGCTGCACCCACTAGACTGAAACGGTGCCAAAGCAACCACAGATTGTTCATGTACTTTGCAGCATGTGTTTGTCAACATGGGCTTGCTTTCTTTATGTCTGGCAACATTATGCTCTTGGTTAAAGCAGATGAATCTTAAGTTCACATTTAAAAACAATCTCTATATCTATATTGATATAGATACACACCCACACACATTTCTTATCCCATGCTTCAACCTGAATTATTTGATTGTAGTTTGAATAACTAACATGAATGAAAGAGTATTATTTTTTTCACTTCTTCCAAATGTTATAGTTTTATGTTTAATTTCTCCAAACCAATGTTTAAGTTGTTGGATCTTGGACCATATTCAAAACTCACATTGTCTCAAAAGCTTTGTTTATCTGTATATCTATAGTGTTTTAGTCCTTGTACATTCATTAAATTTCTAGAAGTTAATTAAGAAAGGGTAACTAACCACTTCAGGACTATTTTTCCCCATCTAGGGCCTCATCTTTGTAGTGGACAGTAATGACAGAGAAAGAGTGGCAGAGTCGGCAGAAGAGCTCTCAAAGATGGTATGTATTTATTAGTGTCAATTTCATAATTTTAGATTATAGTCATGATATGCAGATTAGCTGTTTTTGACTCAGTCATCTAGTTAAACCACAACAAATAATATTGTTGCTCCCAATAAACCTTTGAAAAGGATCTGTTCATATGTGGTGACAAATATCAGAGTAGAGTTTTTTTGTTTTGTTTTGTAGTTAAATGGAAGTAATCTGTTTTGTTTAATTGTGACTCTTGTACCATTGCTTTTTAAACCATAAGATGTTTAAAGATACGCAGACCTGGCATTTTTCTTTTGTTGTATTTAAAAGTATATTTGTGGCATTTTGGCCCTTACTGGACTAGAACGGTGGTCCCCAGCCTGACTGAAACCTGGTTATGGTGATATTGAAGTCAGCTTGTTTGACCCCTGTGCCACCAGAACACACCAAAACTGCTTTTTTGCATTACAGCTCAGTGGCATGAACCACAACTAGTGTCCTTGCTTTTTGTCCAACCATTTACATTTTTGCAGTACATATTTATACTGTATACTGCACATAAAATTTGTTTATATAAAATGTCAGACTTCTTGAGAAATTGTTTTTTCAAATCTCCTTAAGAACTGATGACTGTGTTATCTCGCTGTATATATATATATAATGTAAAAAATCTGTTTTCGGTGTTTTGGCCCTAGCAATAGGGATAAAGTTGTGATCTCTGTTTTCTGACACACTAGTTGCTGGAGGATGAGTTGAAAGACGCTGTTTTGCTGGTGTTCGCTAACAAACAGGACCTTCCCAATGCTTTATCAGTCAGCGAACTCACAGACAAACTCGGTCTGCATGCCCTCCGCAACAGAACTGTAAGTAATGTGAACAGGAACAGTGTCCCTACGGTAAAATTAAAATCTATAAGTGTGTGCAAAGATGCATTCATATCTCCTGTCTTATGCCATGCAATCTCTGACCCCACAGTGGCACATTGAGTCCACCTGCGCCACCCAGGGCACTGGGCTGTATGAAGGACTTGACTGGCTATCCAAAGAGCTTTCCAAGAACTAACAAAAAACAGCTGGACAGATGAGAGGGAGAGGGAGAGAGAGAGAGAGAGAGAGAGACTGAACACCACAGGACAGAAGGCACAGACATTCAGTCCAGAAACATCTGGTCTTCCAGCACCAGTGTTCACAGAACAGACAAGGCTGGTGGAAAATATAATCATCTTTGGGAAATTTTTCTTTTGTTATCAATACTATTAGTGTATTATCTCTTGACATATTCTAAGTTTTTCTCCTTTTGTTGCCAAACTCTTTCCTGGCAACAGGTTGTAATTAGACATTCAGTTGTATAATGAGCAAATGGCCTATTAGGAAAACTTAATGGAAACAGTGAATACAGTAATGGCAGTTGTTTTTCCACTTGATACATCAGCTCCTGTCTAGGCAGTGTTTGCAGTAATCAACCACTTGTATAATTGATGGACTTATTTATAGCCAATATGGAGCCTGGGTTGGGGGATCTAATAATATAACCATGTAGCTCTGAGGAAGCACAACTTGTAGGGTGTCACAAGCTGTTCATCTCCACAACCCCTTGTGAATATTTGACTCATTTGCAGACCTGACCTTTTGCTCTTCACTGCTACATGCTCGACGTTATGCCAGCTCATTTCAGCAAAGGTCTGTAGGCCATAAAATGGATGACGATTGCAGTGTTTTCACAGATAGATTACAATAGTTTTGTGGAACCATGTGGCCTCCCACTAAATGGGTTCAAAAAGGGGCATAATACCTTCTGCTCCTCTACACAAATCTGAGTAATCCTTATCTCATTCTTAGGTCAAGTTCCTCCCTAAGGTTGTTTTGTAATATTTTTGGTTAAGAAAGACCAAATAATGCAATAAGACACTTCCTTTTGTGCTGCAATGTACGTTGTAGAGCAGCAGAACCACACCAATGTGAGCGCAGATTGCATCCTTGCAAGTTGGCTTCATTGTCAACCATTATTTTATTCAGCTTGAACATTTTTGAATATGTCCCAACTCTTTTCCTTCCTTTTTTTTTTAACTACAATTTCTTCTGTTGACCCTTAATGTAAATCTTCAACTTTAAAGAAGGAAGGAAGTGTTTTTTCAGTTCTGGCACAAGAGCAGTGTCAGTGCAGCACAATTAAGTAGCATGTTTTTTGTGTGTTTGTGTCCTTTTTGTGGCAGTGCATAGTGCTGAGTTTGTTCAAATAACATACTGTATTACATTCTTAATTATTCTACCACTACAACACAAACATACCTGCCCCATCAGTTTACTGGGGTATACATTCCAACCTTTACTTGCAGATATTGGAGCAGCAACTCCTAAAAACGATTCACTTGATATTTTGCAAAAGAAAGCACAGAATAAAGTCAATGTAAAAAAAAAAAGATGTTTTGGACTCCAGTCATTGTTGAGCACAGGCAGTTTTCGTTTTAATCAAGTACCGTTTTTACTCCTTCCTTTTCATAACTTAATTTTCAGATTTTTTTCATAATACTGACTAAAATACTAAACTTGCATCTTCCACCTGGAACTGTGGCTGATAACGGAAGCGAGGCGTGTTCTCCACCATCTCTGTTTAAGCCTGTGCCTTTTACACAGATATTTGCAAACAAAGCAGGTCTTTGCCTCAGTGTCTGTCTTGGGTTATGTATCTTTGAAACCACTACACTTCCTGTCACATCTTAACATTGTTAATATACCTTGGCCCAAGCTAGGAAATGGGCTGAACTTATCTGCACAACAAACTGTTCTGTCATGTTGAAAATAGCCCCAAGCCAGCAAACCTATCTTGAGGTTATAAGTGTAACTAAACCATCAAGAGAATTGAAAGTAATACATTTATATGCCTATCAGTGCACTGTTTGAGCAGGCATTGAGCCTCTGGGACCTTTGTTCTGACCACTGATAGAAAAGAGATGTTAGTCTAAAGGGGTCGGTTGGGAAATGGTTGTTTATTGAATTGCATTGGCTTTTTAAAGTAGTTTAATTTAAGGTAAAAGTAGACATTTAAATGGCAAATTATTCTGGTGCAAAACAACATAGATCTTATGAAGCTTGGTTTTTTTTTAATTTTTTTTTTTTTTTTTTTTTTTTTTTTTTACAATTTCATTTCAGTTATCTTCTGGAATAGTATGTTTAAATCTGTTCAGCGATTTGGAAGAGAGGCACAATGCTGGTGTGCTTTGATATGAGACCAGGAAAAGTGTTGCTTTGTTTTTTTTTGTTTTTTGTTTTTTAGGGTGGAAAGAACAAAACAGGCCCTGTTGGTGCTCGATAATATGGTTAACAATTCATATTTTCATAGCATTACAATTAGCTAATAAAAAGGTACGTCTAAACTTGATTGCAATATACTTTTTAAAATATCAATTATTGTTTGCATGCTGTTTATTTTGCCTTTGTTTAAACTACATAGGTGGTCAGAAGATCGAAGAGATCTAGAAGGACAGTAATGGGTAAGAAGGTCTGGCAAGTAAAGAGGGGCTTTTAATGCCTTAAAGGTCATCAATAAGATTTTAAATTGGGTGCAAAAATGAACAGTCAGCCATTGCAAGGAGACTAGGACGGGTGAAATATGCTTCCTTTATCGGGTATTAGTAAGGAAACGGACATTTTGAACAAGTTGGAGACTAGGAATGGGGAATACCTGTGTAGAGGGCATTGCAATAATATAAATGGCTTGAAATAAAAACATGAATAAGCTTTTTAAGATCTCTTTTAGAAACAATGGGTTTAACCTTAGCAGCCTTAGTTCCTAAAAGCCTGATCTAACCCTGGAATTTATTTGTTTATAGAAGGTCAATCATATGTGGTTACTGTGGAATAAGATGGCCGACCCCGGAGACACCAACCTCATCATATCTATGTGGATGTAGCCTTGAAACATCACTTAAAAGAGAGGTATGAGTTGGACCTGCATTAGGAAAAGTGGGGACCTTGGCCTAATTCACGTACAGTATATGACTACAGTCACCTATGTCATGGAACAATAGTTTAACTGAAATAAAGCCTCTCAAATTAGAATTCAGTAATGACACTTATACAATGGAAAACTGTTAGTTTCAGGTCTACTTTTCATACTTTTCAACCACTGCACCGTAGTACTACCAGACTAAATCCAGCGGGTGTGGTGACAGGCTGCTCTTGTGGCCTGCAGCAGCCTTTCATACCTAATAAATCACTTACACATCCAAACACTGTGATTTATGGGTTCTCACACACACAGACACACACGTTCATACACAGGCACATTTTTCTACACAACACATATTAAGCATGCCTGTCAAAGAGCTGTCCCCATGGCAACGTTGTCATAGTGAAGTTGGCAACCACTAAACAATCTGTGTTTGGGTTCAACACACATGCTCAGTTCTGAGGGTAAAACCTGGTGTAGAGGAGCACTCGCTGCAGGATTAGGATTTTTATGAGGTAAAATGCTTTATCTATTCCTTTTAAGACACTGACTGAACTTCTAACTGAACTAAACTGAAAGCAGTCACTGATTTCATGCTTGTCTGCACTTGGTAGACATCTTGTGACTGTGACAGGCTGCTCTGGGTGTACGATAGGTCTGCACATGTTCACGGTTCTGGTGTAGCACCAGTTCCACTTTACCCATAAATTAATATATAGTCACTATATACTAGCAAGTAGTAGTTTGCATATAAAATAAGATATTCATTAAACTGCTTAAATGAAGTAACGGTGATTACTGCAGTAAATTGGCAAGTGGAATGGTTTAATGCTAACCTGTGGTTCATTAAGTTAGCCAGGTGCTGTTTTGGACCTGATAACACAATACATGCTCCTTTCACCAGTGTCACTAAATAAATGCAGAAACAGAGACAGTGAGATATTACTTTTACAAAAGTGTATTATACACTTGGTTTTGTCTTAATGTTGCTATATGCTGAATAATTAATTCAGTTATCTATCTTCATGGCAAAAGTGACCTGAATATGAGCTTTTAAATCTGTCAAAATGTAGGCAATTAAAGAAACTTTTAATTGGAGTAATTTAATAACAATCACATTTTAAACAAATCTATTTTACTACATTTCATCCTTTAAACCCAGTCAGTGTTGTTTCTTATTTTTGTGACAAAAGTCAGGTTTGTTCAGTTTTACAAAAACTTTCTAGCGCTCCACATCCAGCTCAAATGAACACAGACTATTTATTTTTGTTATTTTAAAACTGCTGTGATTGGTTGTTAAACTTGTTGTTCCTGGTCATGTAACACTGAGGAGCTGTTCAGAATGGCGCAGCTTGTTTAAACAGTGCACTTCCATCACATTCAAAACAGTAAGGAGAACTACCTTTAGGCTCTAACAGCACCTAAAACATTTACACAATATCAACCAATTTTTTTCCACACAGTGCCTTCTCTGTAAGAATTTTCTGGTCCCTGGTATTTGCCACACAGAATATGAAAGTACAGTATATTTAATAATTTGGACTCTATGTCTGGCAGCCAGAGCTAATAGTATTTGCAATGAGAACTATATTTCTAATTTTAAACATGTGTGTGCCAAGGTACCATTGATTTGATTTGATTTATTCTTTCAAGCATGTAGAAACAGTTGATATGACAACACACATAATTTTACACACAATCCAATATCAATTTGCTTATACCTAGTACATGCTTGAATGGAGTAGGAAGAAGTCAGACTTATCCAGTCCTACCCCATGACACCATGAGAAGGCAAGTTTGCCAATAGGCAGTGGTGTAATCTCCTTTTCTCAAGGTAATGGCTAGTGCTGAACCCTGGGTTGGTACCTGGAGGCCCCACAAGAAAAGAGGGCCTATAGCTGCACAATACGGTAGTCCAGGACCTAAGTATGGACTGCCTGGACTCACAGGTACAGCCAAAATAGCTATTAACCTTTTTTTTTCACCACCAACATTATTATTGACATTATCTGTCCTTATTTCTTACCATAAAGGTGTTTCTAAACATGACCCTACTAAATATAAAGCACCAATATTCAGCTTTGGGATACTTCACAACCAGGCCAGTTCTGACTGTTCTCCTGGGCCAAGATACCTCCTCCCATCAAACATCACCAGAGAGGGCCGAGGCGGCACTCCTGCTTTTTCACTCCACGGTCGTCCGAAGGAGCCACAGTTGTTCCGGACTCCTGGACCAGGTCAGCTAAACCCCTCACACATGAAAGCTGACAATATGCCAGTTTTGTCATGATGCAGTCTCTTGTTGTTTGAGTTTGCTTGTACTTATGTGACGTCCTTTGGTGTTTAAGCCCACTACTCCCCAGAATGTTCAGCAAAGTCAGTCTTCCACTCTGCTCCTGCTTATTCTCTTTCTGGGAGGAGTAAAGAATTCAGCACTAACCAGATACCAGGTAACGTATTGTATTTAGTGTCAACTATAATTGAGCTTTGACTAACAAATCTAAATCAAAATGGCACAAACCTCAATTTCATCTGTCACTTATACTGTAGGCCCAGCCTCCTACTCTCTGCCCCCGGTGGTGGGGGCCAAAACTATTTTCACACCTGCAGCTCCCACCTATTCAATCTGTAGTCGCAGGAAAATTGGCAGCTTCCATGAAGACCTGAAGAAGGTACATACACACATTTATAAAAACTGTTTTGTGTAAGAAAAAAAAGAAAAGATGATAGTAAAAAATAAAACCATGATTTAGTCTTGCTCTCTATATGCTTCTTTCCC